GTGTGTGTGTGTGTGTGTGTGTGTGTGTGTGTGTGTGTGTGTGCGCGTGCGTGCACGCATGCACTGTGTGTGTGTCTACATATTTTTCCAGCTTTCTCATGGATAAAACACTGGTAATAAACAGACATGTTTTAGTTTTTGACAGCCACTGGCTTCTTTTTACAGTGTTTTATTGAATTATAAGACAGTGAAGAAGTTCTTTAAACAGTTCTGTGTCAGTCTGTCTTACCTGGCTACAGATGAGTTCAGGTGTGTCTTTGTTAATGATCTCCAGCGCTCCTGCTGTCAAAAACATCCCAACAGCCAGAAAAGGTGCCCAGTCCAATGAAAGCCTCATTTTAAATGTTTGTTTTTTTAAGTTCAGTCCGCAGCACTCTGTTACTCCTCTGTTGAACCCGTCTCCTTCTCTTTTACCTGTTTTCCCTCGGAGCAGAGCAACAGCAGGCTGGCCCCGGAGGAAACACGACCATGGCGGCTCCTGTCAGAGCGCCACATGTGAACTGGTGCAGAGGACTCAACTCCACACCCTTTTCTGCCACATACTGGCGGGAGCCACTGTACAACCTGCTCAGGTGAGCGGGTGGAGACTTGTGGCTCGCTGAACAAGTTTCTGACGAAAAGGACCAGTTGCATTCATACCATACCTCAGCGTCAACAGTCAAGTTCAACAACATCTGTCATCAGGACTGGTGATATCTTATTTACCTTATGTATATAGAGTTTCTTGTTGAATGTAGAGCAGTACATGAACTCATAAGAAGACAACTGTTTCAGACCAACTGTTACTATGACATGTGAAATGAAACTGAAGACCACAAAGAATGCTCAACCACACAGAGAATCACTTTTGTCAAATGCCATTAGGCCATAAGCCATGTTCAAAAGCTAAACCCAGTCAGTAGATAGCCAGGTCTGGATTTCTCTACACTAATAACAGAATATTTAAAAACAAGTTTGGCATTTGTGAAACCTTTGACTGTTTTGTGAAACTTCAACAAAGGGTGATTACTCCACTTTTAATGAATCTGGACCACATTGGTGCAAAACTACAACATGTAGACTCTTCAAACAAGGTCTAGATTCTTCAGTCCAGGTTTGAAGAGTCTCTGTGTTATAGTTGTGGAGCTAGATCAGTTCCAATGTAGTCCAGATGCATAAAAAGTGGAGTAAACACACTTTATAGAAGTTTCACAGATCAGATAAAGGTTTCACAAATCCCAAAGTTGTTTTTAAATATTCTACTATACAGTATGTGCAGAAGGATCTAGACCTGATTTGAAGAGTCTACATGTTGTAGCTGGGTTTGCATCTGGACCAGGTCTAGTCTGGCCAGATGCATAACAATAGTGCAATGGCCTTTTTATTGAAGTTTCATAGATCAGATAAAGGTTTCACAAATCCCAAAGTTGTTTTTAAATATTCTACTATACAGTATGTGCAGAAGGATCTAGACCTGATTTGAAGAGTCTACATGTTGTAGCTGGGTTTGCATCTGGACCAGGTCTAATGTGGACCAGAAGGGTAAAAAGTGGAGTAATTGTTTCACAAATCCCAAACTTGTTTTTAAATATGCTGCCCTCAATGCAGAATACTCTAGTCCAGGGGTTCTCAAACCTTTTTGGTCTCGAGACCCCTTACAATGGCAAAAAACATTCCAGGGACCCCCTCATGAACCCCATGCTGTTTTAAAAGACAATTTATTGTCATTTCAACCCCTAAATGCCATGGGAATATATATTTTTATTTAGTTTATTATGTTGGTTTTAGTTCATTATTCTTCATGCATTTTTAAAAATAAAACCAAATAAACAATTTAGTGAAATTTTTGAGGACCCCCAAGATACCTCTTACAAACACCTGGGGGTCCTGGGCCCCCAGTTTGAGAACCTCTGCTCTAGTCAGTCAAACAAATTTCTGTCTTAACAGGATAAAACAAATTGTGGCGTTTTCAAAAAATTGAATTGTTAAAGCTAACTGATGCAGAAAACTAAATGCTACACAGCAAAACACTAGCTACAAGCTATAAGGAGAAGAAATGTTTACAAGGTAAAAGTAGTAAATCACTAGCTATGTGCTAAAGAGGGAGCAAAATGACAGCTAATCTAAAAGTAGCAAAACACTGGCTAAAAGCTAAAAGTAATAAAGGGCTACCTAAATGCAAAAAATATTCAGCTAAAGCTTTTAAGTAGCAAAAGACTAGCTGAAAGTATCCAAGCATCTGCTCAAACCTAAATTAGAAAAAAGTTAGCTAAAACTAAAAGGAGGAAAAAGGCTAGCTATAAACAGTAGTAAAGGTTCAGTAAAAAAAAATTGTAAAATGTTAAGATAAGATAAGATAAGATAAGATAAGATAAGATAAGATAAGATAAGATAAGATAAGATAAGATAAGATGAGATATAACTTTATTGATCCCACAGTGGGAAAATTTGCACAGTTAGTTAAAAACTAAATTTATCAGAATTTAGCTAAAAGATTAAAGTAGCAAAAGGCAAAAAAAAAAACTAACAGCATCAGATTGGCAGCTAATGTAGATGATAATGTGGCCCCTCAACGGGCATTTTTATCAGTTTTATCTCAAGCTTTTGATTGGTGTGTATTTTTATTTTCCTCTAGCTATTTAAGATTAGTTGAACCTTATAAACATAAAAACACGACACTGTTTTTGAGCAATTAGAAGTAAATATTGTATTCAAACTTAAAAGTAAAAAAAACTTCAAATCTATACCCTTTTTTTATCTAAATATAAATTTATGAAATAAGAAGCTTCAATAAGATGAGTAGTGACAGTACTTTACTTATTAAGTAATATAAACTGAACACATAAAAAAGTAATTATCTGACTATCTATGCAACATGTATGTACCAACAATAAAGATATCCTGAAACTCTGTTCTGGCTTTTGGTTTTGGTGGACCACCACAGGATTTTCAGTGCCACCTCAATAAAAACTGTCTGAAGGAGCCACTGCAACACTGACAGTTATGTTATAAAAATGTAATAAAACCACAGAGCCGGAAGCAAATGAGTAGCAGTTTATGGTTACCACCCCCTTCCTTTGACATGTGCAACAGCCTGTGGCTAAATTAAATCCTGTGGCTGCTGTTGTCAGGTATTTAGCAACTTGATGGGTAGGTGGGGTCTGCACATTATTTACACATACCTATTTACAACTTAGGGTCTGTAGCCTCAAGTTAGTGAATAAATTAGTGAGGTATGTAAATCCAGGGATTATAATACATTTCAGTGCCAAATTTATGTCATCAGATGTTATTAAAATGTTGAAACTTTGATGACTTGTTAATAGTCAAAATTTGATCACCCATTACAGAAATATTAAGCTTCGTTCAGTCTGACAGACTGTACCTGAATTTCCAAGTTTGACTGGAGTGCCTCCATTTATAATTTTCCTAACCCCAATCTCAAAATCCACAGCTGCCTCAGCACATGACAAGTGGTAACTGTAGTAACGACATGTTTATTTGCATTTCTGTCTTTATAAAACCATTCTGTCCAACTTCTGCTAGTAAATATGATGCTGCAGTTTTTATATGCAAACAAAGATTTAGTGGTTAGAACTGTTGTGTCACAGCAGCAAAGGCCTGGGTTTGAACCCCGGTTTGGGCCTCGTTCTTTACATATTCTCCGGTTTTCTCCTCGTACTCCAGTTTCCTCCCATGCTACAAAAAACATGCATGTTTAGGCTGCCCTAAAGCCCAAGCCACCCTTGAAAATTTGATTTGTGATCTCAGTGAGATAAAAAATATTTATTATTTGATTGTATTGCTATAATAATTATAATAGTTGACCAATTGAGACTATGTTAGGTCAGTGTAGGAAAAATACAGCAGGTAAAGTAAGTAMTGAACACGTCACCATTTTTCTCAGTAAATATATTACTAGAGGTGCTAATGACATGGAATTTTCACCAGATGTCAGTAACAACCCAAGTGATCCATACATACAAAGAAATCAAACCATAAATGTCCAGAAATGAAGTTATTTGTAATATTTTGGAATGGCACAGGGAAAAAGTATTGAACACGTCACCATTTTTCTCAGTAAATATATTACTAGAGGTGCTAATGACATGGAATTTTCACCAGATGTCAGTAACAACCCAAGTGATCCATACATACAAAGAAATCAAACCATAAATGCCCAGAAACTAAGTTATTTGTAATATTTTGGAATGGCACAGGGAAAAAGTATTGAACACGAAGAAAGGGAGGTGTAAAATGGCATGGAAAGTCACGACACCAGCTGAACTC